TCGAGTTACATGGGGTTGTTATCTTGATCGACTTCCATCAGACATCCATCGTTTTCAGCTCAGCCATCCACGATAGCCCCCTCCGTGACGGGTCATACAAAAAAAGAACAAGAAACATGAGGAAGTTGAAAAGGGGGGTTTGATCTCATCATCCGGCGACCATCCATCCATCCATTACATATACGCAAAATCCACCCCCCTCACGCCGCGAGAAAGAGAGCCCCCGTTTCGATTTGATTTTGATTCTTTTCATGTATGCCCATTTTTCACCCCAGGGGGAGCTCCTACTTCTTCCCGGCGGCCCCGGCATACTTCTCGGCGTGGAGGTCGTGGAACTTGCTCGCGTAGTTGCTGTCGATGTGCCCGTCGCGCGAGCTGGGGACCGCGTAGATGGAGCCTTTGCGCTTTTGGAAGCGGGAGGGCGGGACTTTGGATGCGTCTTTGGGAGAGGGGATGAGTGGGTTAGATCTCCCTTGTGCTTTTTTAAATAAAGGAAAAAAAGCGGGGTGCTAGGCAGAGAGAGGAAGATAGGGGGTTTGGTGGTTGAAAAGAAAAAAAAACTCACCCCATTGATCGCTGCCGCGCCGGTCAGAGACGGGAGACGAAGCGGGACTCGCGTCTTCCTCATGGGGTCTCATTGTGGTGGTTGTGGATGGCGGGGCTTGTTGCATTGCTGGAGCTGTTGCTGCTACGTCGGTCGTGGAGGACTTGTGGGTGTTGATTTCTTTGTTTCGAGTTGTTAGCGTGATGAACTGCGGGATTGGTTTTGGTTTGGTTGCAGGCTGGCGGATGGGATGGGGTAGTTGGTTGGTTCTTACCTGCCATTCTGTCTTGTCTAAGGGGTCTTTTCTTGTGCGTGTACTGTGTTTGTTTCTTGGCGATCGGCGGTGATGTTGTTGATGATGATGGATATGTTTGTAGGTTCTAGGTTACGAGATTTAGGTCCTTAGGTGGGTGTAAGTGGTTTTGTGAGGGGAGATGAGGTGCAGCTTGGGCAGAGCTTTGTTTTAATAGTGGGATGAGTACGATACCTTTGGTGACCTGATGTACGGCAGGTACCTGTAGGTATGCTGCCCGACAAAGAACGGGATGTGATGCAGGGAAGGTGTAAGAGGATTGTCTACGTCAATCGAGAAGCAGCAGCGGAGGAGGAGGAGGGGAAGGGGAGAGAAGGGCTTCTTAGTCAAGATATAGAGAAAACTCAGGACGAAACCGCGGGGAACTCAAGGTGTCTTCCCTGGGATGGGAGGAGCAGCAAGAATCCCATGCACGACGAGGCAGGAGACGCCCCCGATGTCATTCTTGGTATTTTTCTCCCCATGGCTTTTTTTGTTTCGTCTCCCGTTGCCGTCACTATCTACCACTGCTCATGTTTTGCTTTGTCCTCATTGATCGATCCCCATCATTATCTTCCACTACCAGGTAGGTTTCGCACCCCGATCAATCAAAAGGAGAGGCCAGGCGCGCTTGGCAACGGGGCTGTGCTGTGCTGTGCTGTGCGCACTACGTCCTCGTGCTCCTTGTTGCCCCCTCCTTCTTCTCTCTCTTCATATTCTCTCATTGCCAGCCGGGAGGTTGGACGAGAAACGCGATCATCATGGCTCAATCAGAGTTGTCGACTTGACGTCATGCGGGGGGAGAAGGAAGGAGGGGGGAACGGGTTGGCATGGTTGCAAGCCAGCCAGCCATGCAGGTAATGCAAGACTCAAGGAAAGCTTCTGCGAGGTGATAGGTTCTAGACTTTGCTGTAAAATATCGCACCACATGGTGGCCACCTACCTGACCTACACTAGGTTGGCGGATGTGGGTGTCGTGTATGTATGTCTGTATGTACCTACCTTGTGTACGGTAGTCTTGATTTCTGTTGGACTGTCTGTGTGATATCACGTCCCCTATCCGCTGCTTTACCCTTCCGACCCCTCTCCCTCTCTTCCTAGCAGGACTGTCCACTTGGAGGCCTCTTTTGTCTGCGTTCGTTCGAGGCACCCACATGCATCAAATCCTCCCTACCCATACTCCATGTGAGCTACAATCGTGTATTTCCATCACCGAGATATATTGCCGAAGCTGTGCTATGTTGCTGTACTTCCGCCCTAAACTGGCCAAAGGGCATTCTGAAGCACCGAGTCCAACCAAAGGAGTGTGTATGTACCTCTGTCCAGAGAGACCTGGCCAGCCAAGACAAACCGGTCAAGGAGGCGAAAAGAAAACAGACAGTTGTGTATATACAAAGGTTGGGAAGCCAGGTATCAAACCTCGCGCTGCTTGCTCGGCTTACTTATTTCGGCTTGGCTCCCGACTCGGATCCTCCCCCCATCCATCCCGTCGCCGATCTCGCCTGGGTAGACTCAGCCACAGGAATACCACATCAAACGAGTCATTTTCCCATATCACTCATGGAATTGGAGTCAGAGGATAGCTCAGCGTGCCATCGCACCCTTGGTGGTCGTCTGTGCTCGTTCCAGCGAGGCCCTCTAGATGTCCTCCCCATCAGCACGAAGCTCGGCGAGCAGCTCGGGATCCATGTCGTCGACAGACGCAAGGGTCCTCCTCTTCACGCTGAGCGCGAATGCGCGCCGGGCTTGGGCGGGACTGGTGGTGTTGGCCATCTGAACGGGTACCACACCCCCAAAAGGGCCGGCTCGGGCTGTGTTCTGGCATCGCACCAGGCACACGTTGTCCTGACCGGCCACGGTTCCCGTGCAGCTCTGCTTGGCCGGGATGGCAGCATTCAGGGGAAAGTCTGTCTTTGCGCCTGACTGTGATTGAGAGTGTAAGTCTAACAATGCCATGATAGATATCAAGAGGGAGCAGCAGCTCCACTTCCGCGGGAACGGGGTAGGGATAGGGGGGAAATAAACAAAACGAGCAAAAAGGGGGAAAACCAAGGCTTACCCGATTTTGGGAGTTACGGCCGGGCGTGTTTTGCGTCACTTGGATGTTGGCCCAGTTCTGGCCAGTCCCATCGGCGTTGATCATGCACGAGTACGGGCCGCCGCCGTCCCCATTCACTTGGTGCAGAGTCATCTGGATCGCGCCACCCTGGGTCACCTGTGGGAGTTGATCTCCTGTCTCGGCCATGATGGCGGCGGTTCCAGCCTCGAGTTGGTTATCACCGCCGGCGAGCGTCTCGCCAAAGGTCTGGGCTGCGGTGCCCTTGAACCGGGTGCTGTCCTGTTGAAATGGGTTCCGCCGGGTGCCGTCTCGGGGAGTGCTGGTGTCGATGCCAAGAGCCATGCCGGCGCCTCCAGCATCACCAGTTGCCTTGATGATGGCTCCATGGCCAGCAACGAGCTCAGCTCCTGTGGCGAGGATGACTGCGAAGGCGATATTGATGAGTTGCATGTTGGCTGGCAGTGTGATGTGATTTGATGTGGCAACGGGAAAACGCAGACCTGTCCGGCAGGGAAAATGGTGCTTAAATAACAAAGGTGAGTGAAGCGAATAAATACTGCTCGCAAGGAATCTGTTGTTGATACTGCTGTGAAGATGAGAGAATGACTGACATTGACGGCCGCCACAAGCCCTTATATAGATCTCATCGTACAGAACAAGATCACCACTTTTACCAAATCCCATCTTCACATCTCGAGTCCGGTCATCTAACTCGAACACCAGTTTCAGTTCTGGTGACTCGACCTTCAAGACGAGACAATCTCAGACGTTGAGGAGAAGCCAAAAGTCGGCCAGAGCATCTTCGTCCCATATTCGGGCACACCGAGAAGGGGCAGTTGGCTGGGGCTTGGCCCGCAGAGTTCCAGCTTCACGATAACTTGAAGCGTCTCCTATAGAGGAGAGCCTCTGTGATGCTGGTGTCCCACAGGCCGCCATGAGACACCAGCCATCGCCACATTCAAGTCGTCAGGCACCCTGCTTCCGCAACTATTTCTGCATTCGGTTGACCTCAAACAAGCTTCGCCGCTGGTAGATCACGAGAAACAGAATCCCGGACCTCGTCTAGAAGCTTGTGGGGTAGCGATGAGGCAGTGCTTCTCGCAACAGAGCTTGACCGGGGGAAAGGTTCAAGTTGTTCTTCTTTCCACAAACAAGGATTGGTAGAAGCCAGCCAGTTGCAAGCAGCTTCGGTCGATACAAACACAGGCAGGCGGAGCAAGGGGACCCCCCGCGTTCGAATATGATCCGTCTTGGCTCCGGGCCGTGGGATGCAGCTAGTCCAACGCGAGAGATCTGTTTGTAGGGAGAAGATCTCTGGATCTGAGCTGTGCGTCGATCACAAATACGGATATCTGGGGGAGTGAAGTGATGGTGATGGTGACTATGACAAGGGGTATCCATCACCGTGCGCCATGAAACATTAACCTTGATCACGATGCTGGCGACGATCTAGGTTCTCGTTGTTTTCTTTTTCTGCTCAGCCACTCTGGGCGTTTCATCACCTTCAACGTCAAAGTCCCTCACGTGAGGTCTGTGTCTGAATCAAATGCTGCAAGTGCCGATGGATAGACGAGCTGCAGCAATCGACGTTGGGGTTACCTGAAACATGGATTGCCGGGTCACCTTCATGCCGATCATGAGTGTTTTGGCCCGTTGCGTTTGAGTACCTCGAGAGCCAATTGCATCTCGGTTGTTGCATTGCTGAAGGACATACCGTATGTATCCTGGAGCTCGGTAACGGACTGACAGCCTCTGGTGTCTTACTCAAATCGATTTGAGAAAGTGAAGCCGGTCAATGAACGTCGCTGCCATCTCGTCGAGGATCCAGCTCATTGACTGACAAGAGAAGTAAAAGCAGGACCAGGCAATTGTGCCGGTCCTCCTCGACCTTCAAGGAAATTGCCTGGGTGGGAGACCATCGTTCCTTCTTTTCGTGTCGTTCATCAAGAACCGAAAATTGGTGATTAGGCGGCTGCAGCGGAATCCAGTACAGGACGTGCGATATGCACCAGCGGAATCATAATATGACCAAATGAATCGAAGGAGAAAAAACGACACGGTAGCCTGCAGTCGAGTCGTTAAAAAGAATCAAGATCGAAAAAGTTAGGTCGTGCCCGGGTTCGAACCGGGGTTGTCGGAAATTTCAATTTGTATGTTTCTCAAAATCCGAAGTGATCACCACTACACTACACAACCTTTCTCGAGCGTTGTCTGCGTCGAGGTAGAGTGTGGCTGCGATCCACTTCTGATGCTCTACCTCGCTGGGAAAATTAGCTAAGAATTACACACTAAAACCTTCACAAGAGGGTTAGGGTTGCATATAGTGCCCCTTTCGAGCTGAAAAGGGGTTGGTTCTTAGATCGAACGGATAGGTCTGTCGAGGAGTTTTCCTTGACGGGCAGCTTCAACGTTCTCGCTGCATCTAACCTCTCTTTATGTTTTCATGAAGTCTGCCTTCATATGGCCTGACGATAGTACGGGTTAACCGCGATATTCTCATATCTGCAGTGGCATAACTAGGATAGCGCTTGACAGGCTGGTTCTCATAAATCTTGATATTCCCCAATAACCGCCCCATCAAGCCGAGAGACAAGAATACTCAAATAGTTTCCAGATGGAGAGCCTTGAGTACTTTGCGGTCTACCAGAGTGCTGCGATGAGCTGATCTTATTTTGTCACAGGATTTGTCACAGAGGAGTCTACGTATAGCGGAGCTCTTTCACCTCCAGACACGTGAACAAATACTGGCATGATTTAGGGCGGTTCCCGACGAGGGCTCAGCAGTTATCCGTCCAGCAAACGCCATCCTCAGTCGATAAAACCCATTGGAGTGAGTGGGAGTGCGGTGGCTAGTTCCAAGCCATGCACAATACATCGTCGATATGACGAACGGCAACCTAGAACGAATGCTGAGTCCTTATTGTGTCGTATACTCGGGGGTCATGCCTCTGCGTTGGCTCGGAAGATACTGAGACTGAGGTTTGGACAGCTGTGCTGGAAGGTTAGCAATCTCATGAGAGTAAGGAATCGGAGGACGCTAACGAGCAGGCATCCCCAATGGAGGTCTCATATCGGAAGTCGGTGTCCTCGTGAATTTCCGGAGATCATCAGACAGGGAGGTTTGATAGCTAATTGGTGGTCGAATGAAACGACCCGAGCCAGACACACCACTTCCATGCCCCGATGGGAAATCTGGAGTCCCTGTTATCCGGATGGACTGGCGATGGGAAGGAGTTTCTGGCAAATCTGCCCTCGAACTGTAGTCAGCTCAAATATTCCAAGATGAAAGCATGAGCAGGACTTGCACTGTGGGGTGACGGTATTGTAACCGGGCTGGGTCCTCGTGTAACTGGAGTTGGCGGGAAAGTAATCCGTTCTGCCACCCCGGTCGCCGCCCCCCATGCCGCGAAGAGGACCTTGGCCTTGGTTCCCGTGTGTGCTTGGAGGTGGAAGACAATCTGTGAGCGTCGAATCCACCTCTACAGCACCTCTTGGATGTAGAACCTCGGGTGCAGGCGCATGTGCAGGTGCAGGCGATTGATTCAGTAAAACCCTCCGTTTCAGCTTGTTGTAGAGCTCCTGGGATTGGGCGAGCTTCTTATTCTTCTCGGCCACTGAGAGGCGAAGGTCCTCGCACTTGCGCCTGAGCCCTTGTTCCTCCAGTTCCATATCTGAGGCCACGGTTAGGCCCACCTGGGAGGGTCAGATTAGAAGATGACAAACGGGAATACCTTTGATTTTGGCAGTCAGGGCACTAATCCTCGTGTTTCCTTGGCTCCAGATACTGTCGACCTCTTGTTCGATCTTGGCGCAGTGAAGCTGCAAACTCTTGTTTGCTTGCTGTTGGCATAGGATCTGGTTCGTCATCTGATATGACCAGAAGCTCAGGGCTCTCCCGGCGCATTCCATGACCGCCGTGGGACTGAGCCCGCACAAGGCCACTGACTTCCACTCTTCGGATGGCCGTAGGAACTGTTTGCAGACCTCGGGGTCGCTGAGGGGCTGACGGCACACGGGGCACGTGTACGGCCCAGATCCAGGCCCATTGAGGCCATGGTGACTCGCGCAGTCTAGGCAGATGGCATGGCTGTCTTGGGGCTTAGCCTATGTTTCAGCCTTTGAGGAAGCGGCGGCGGCGACGGACCTGCATACAGTCACTATGGCTTGACCAGTGAGTTGGACTCCGCACTTGCCAACATTGCAAGTCAGATCCTGCTCCATCCGGTGTTACTTCAAGTGTTGGATGCCAGGTTGGTAGGTAAGTGGTTAGGAAGGAGAAATGCACGAGTTGGCGATGGGATGCCCTTGGTGTGAAAGCTTCGAGACAAACCAGGTACCTCATTTCCCGCGGTTTCTTTATGGTCGCGAAGTGACCTGTGGAGGCACAGATAACGAAAGAACCCGGAAAGTGCACGATAAATGTATGGAATTCAAACTGGAAAGAGCTCCATGAGATTCAGGGTGAATTTCTTGTCCTAGCATGTGGTTTCCAAGCTGGTAACCCCGAAGCTAGCAGGTACTTTTTCCACAATTTCATGCTCAGGGAGGCGCGACTGGAGGGGAAATCCAAAATGTTTCAATACACCGGAGATTAGCAGATTTGAGCCAATTCGAAGGCCTCTCTGACGTTTTCCTGCGTATTCCGCCTGCAATGTGAAGGGTGCGTGTATATTTTCCATATAAAAAGCATCAAGCATGAGACTAGGCTACACGTCTACATGTTGAATGTATGTTATTGAAAGAAAGGTCATACCGACCAATCATTGATCTTGAGAGCAGCAGCTTCAGCCACTGACCCCTTCCCACCGGCGTTCACTCTTGACGTATCGAACCCCTGGACGGGTACCCACTCCCCCGCCTTGTGGCTTTCATCTCACTGTTTCAGGCATCCAAGTAAGTCACCGAGGGAGCTTTGGTCCACATACCCTGCGCAACCCGCAAGGTTGGGTCGTGAGCTACCCCACCCCGCCTCACATCATCGCCATCATCATCACCATCAACTCCCGGGTTGACGTGGGTGATCTTTGCGACGAGCTCTACAAAAATGACCGAAGTCGTCATGAGACAGACCCCGCCTATTTTGCACGGTCCATCCGAAAAAGAGCGCAAATATGACCGCCAGCTGCGGTTATGGGCTGCCAGTGGACAGGCAGCTCTGGAGTCGGCAAACATCTTGCTTGTGAACTCGGGCGCCGGTACAGTGGGGATTGAGACACTCAAGAACCTCGTGCTGCCAGGTGCTATGCCTTGTCCCCCGTCCGCAGCTTCCTACAGCAGTGCCAGTCATCTAACCTTGCGGTTGCAGGCATCGGCCGTTTCGCCATCTACGACGACGCGGTGGTCGAGAAAGCCGACTTGGGCGTCAACTTCTTCCTCGACGAGACTGGCCTGGGGAAGCCCAGGTCGCAATGTCTGACCGAGCTCATATTAGAGCTGAACCCCGAGGTTCAAGGGGACTGGTATCCGAAGCAAAGGGCAAGAAATCAACCTCTCTCCCGCCGGACAGCCTGACTGGACCTGCACCATACCGCTACTTACACCTAAAGTGCAGGGCGACTCGGCGCTTGAAGCTCTCCTTGCGACCTCTCCGATCTTCACCACCATCGTGTTTACTTATCCGGCTGGCGCTGAATATTCGTCTCTCCTCCAGGAATACAGCAAACAGCACAAGACTCCATTGGTGGCGATACACTCGGCTGGCTTTTATTCGTACTTCCAGATACAGCTGCCCGGTGCCTTCCCCATTGTCGACACGCATCCTGAGGAGACCGCCACGACCGACATTCGACTGTTAACCCCGTGGCCCGAACTCAGCGAGTTTGCCAAGGAACTGACAAAAGATATCGACAATCTCGACAATCATGAGCATGGTCACTTGCCATTCGTTGCCATATTATTGCACTATCTCGAGCAGTGGAGAGAGACGCATAATGGCTCCAATCCCTTGACGTATAAGGAAAAGATCGAATTCCGGCGTCTAGTGCAGGTTGCCACGAGGACCAACAACCCCGAGGGTGGCGAAGAGAACTTTGAAGAAGCCGTCGCTGCTGTGCTGAAGACGGTCACGGCCCCGTCTCTGCCCTCCGGCCTCAGAGAGGTGTTTGAGTACAAGCACAGCGATCCTGTACGTAGATCAAAGAACCACACCAAGCTGTGCAGAGATCGTGCTGACACCAGGTCCTAGAACGAACAGGTGTCTGGATTCTGGATTATTGCGGATGCTGTCAAGAAGTTTTACGCCGAGCACAAGTGCCTGCCCCTTCCAGGGAGCGTCCCAGATATGAAAGCACAGTCAAAAGTATACATCCAGCTTCAGAACATATACAAGAAAAAGGCCCGCCAGGACGCCGCAGAAGTGCTAAAGACGGCTCAAGAAATCGCACCTGACCGAGATATTGAAGCTGCTGAAGTGGAGCTGTTTTGCAAGAATGCCGCCTTCGTCAAGCTCATCAACGCGACAGGGGGCGCAGGCCACAGGGACACGAATAATGCTGATCGTCTGAAGGCAGTCATCGGTAAGCACTTACGCCATCCTCCAATCCGAGTGGGAGCCTTTTTTCCCACTGCACTGCAACACAACTAGTTGAGACGAAGGGAACCTGATATATTGACGCTTGCCACAGCCCAGGAACTGGAGAACGACGAAAACGCGGAGGTTACGATGACGCCCCTCTCCCTTTTACCCATCTACCTGGCCCTGCAGGCGACTGGGCGCGTAGCCTCGGCCAGCGCAGACGAGATCCTAGCAGAGGTGGCAAAGACGGTCCCGGAGGCGAGCCAGAACGAGAGGATACGCAATGCTGCTCAAGAGGTTGCGCGTGCCGAGGGGGGCGAACTGCACAACATCTCCGCTCTCACGGGCGGCATGGTGGCGCAGGAAATGATCAAGATTATCACGAAGCAGTACATTCCAATCGATAACACGTGCATATTCGATGGGATCAGCAGCCGATGCCAGGTCGTGCGCTTATGAAGAGAGAAGAGGGACGCGCCCACCATCCTGCACTCCCCCTCTCTCTTGAAGGAAGCGCCCGGTCTCACGGGTTGGGTATTTCCCGGTCTTGGGCACCTGCGGGAAGAAGCGGGACATCAAGGGGGCTCATGTGAGCGGGCAGTGGCCAGTTGTTCATGATAGACCAGGACGAAGACTAGCGAGAATAGACAGGCTACTTGGCCACAGCGGTTTTCAAGCCGAG